GGTCCCTCCTGCTGGCCCTGCTGGTGACGTCACTGTCCCCCTCCCCCGCCCCTCCCCCCGCCGGGGCCGCCGAGCCCAGGAAGGTCCAAATTGGGGTCCGGAGACGCCCCGAGAGGTGCCGGGACAGGAGCAGGAGGGGGGACGTCCTGACCCTCCATTACACGGTATTGTACTGGTTTATACTGGTTATACTGGTTTATACTGGTTATACTGGTTTATACTGGTTTATACTGGGGGGATGTGCTCACCCTCCAAATTGGGGTCCGGAGACGCCCCGAGAGGTGCCGGGACAGGAGCAGGAGGGGGGATGTGCTGACCCTGCACTACACGGTACTGTACTGGTTTATACTGGTTTATACTGGTTTATACTGGTTATACTGGTTTATACTGGGATGTACTGGGGGGATGTGCTCACCCTCCAAATTGGGGTCCGGAGACGCCCCGAGAGGTGCCGGGACAGGAGCAGGAGGGGGGACGTCCTCACCCTCCACTACACGGTACTGTACTGGTTTATACTGGTTATACTGGTTATACTGGTTTATACTGGTTATACTGGTTATACTGGTTTATACTGGTTATACTGGGGGGATGTGCTCACCCTCCAAATTGGGGTCCGGAGACGCCCCGAGAGGTGCCGGGACAGGAGCAGGAGGGGGGACGTCCTCACCCTCCATTACACGGTATTGTACTGGTTTATACTGGTTTATACTGGTTTATACTGGTTTATACTGGTTATACTGGTTTATACTGGTTTATACTGGGATGTACTGGGGGGATGTGCTCACCCTCCAAATTGGGGTCCGGAGACGCCCCGAGAGGTGCCGGGACAGGAGCAGGAGGGGGGACGTCCTGACCCTCCACTACACGGTACTGTACTGGTTTATACTGGTTTATACTGGTTATACTGGTTATACTGGGGGGATGTGCTCACCCTCCAAATTGGGGTCCGGAGACGCCCGAGAGGTGCGGGACAGGAGCAGGAGGGGGGACGTCCTCACCCTCCATTACACGGTATTGTACTGGTTTATACTGGTTTATACTGGTTTATACTGGTTATACTGGGGGATGTGCTCACCCTCCAAATTGGGGTCCGGAGACGCCCCGAGAGGTGCCGGGACAGGAGCAGGAGGGGGGACGTCCTGACCCTCCATTACACGGTACTGTACTGGTTTATACTGGTTATACTGGTTTATACTGGTTATACTGGTTTATACTGGGGGGATGTGCTCACCCTCCAAATTGGGGTCCGGAGACGCCCCGAGAGGTGCCGGGACAGGAGCAGGAGGGGGGATGTGCTGACCCTGCACTACACGGTACTGTACTGGTTTATACTGGTTTATACTGGTTTATACTGGTTATACTGGGTTATACTGGGGGGATGTGCTCACCCTCCAAATTGGGGTCCGGAGACGCCCCGAGAGGTGCCGGGACAGGAGCAGGAGGGGGGACGTCCTGACCCTCCATTACACGGTATTGTACTGGTTTATACTGGTTTATACTGGTTTATACTGGTTTATACTGGTTTATATTGGTTATACTGGGGGGATGTGCTCACCCTCCAAATTGGGGTCCGGAGACGCCCCGAGAGGTGCCGGGACAGGAGCAGGAGGGGGGATGTGCTGACCCTTCATTACACGGTATTGTACTGGTTTATACTGGTTATACTGGTTTATACTGGTTATACTGGTTATACTGGGGGGATGTGCTCACCCTCCAAATTGGGGTCCGGAGACGCCCCGAGAGGTGCCGGGACAGGAGCAGGAGGGGGGACGTCCTGACCCTCCATTACACGGTATTGTACTGGTTTGTACTGGTTTATACTGGTTATACGGGGATGTACTGGTTATACTGGGATGTAGTGGTTACACTGGTTATACTGGGAGGGACAGGAGCAGGAGGGGGGATGTGCTGACACTCCATTATACGGTATTGTATTGGTTATACTGGGATGTACTGGTTATACTGGGAGGGACAGGAGCAGGAGGGGGGACGTCCTCATTCTCCATTATATGGTATTATACTGGGATGTATTGGTTATACTGGTTATACTGGGAGGGACAGGAGCAGGAGGGGGGATGTGCTGACACTCCATTATACGGTATTGCATTGGTTATACTGGTTATACTGGGATGTACTGGTTATACTGGGAGGGACAGGAGCAGGAGGGGGACGTCCTCATTCTCCATTATATGGTATTATACTGGGATGTACTGGTTATACTGGTGATACTGGGAGGGACAGGAGCAGGAGGGGGGACGTCCTAACTCTCCATTATATGGTACTGGTTTATACTGGTTATACTGGGAGGGACAGGAGCAGGAGGGGGGACGTCCTCATTCTCCATTATATGGTACTGGTTTATACTGGGATGTATTGGTTATACTGGTTATACTGGGAGGGACAGGAGCAGGAGGGGGGACGTCCTAACTCTCCATTATATGGTACTGGTTTATACTGGGATGTACTGGTTACACTGGTTATACTGGCAGGGACAGGAGCAGGAGGGGGGACGTGCTCACCCTGCACTACTCGAAAGTGGTCCCTACTGGTCCGTAGTGGTTCGTACTGGTTTATACCGGTTCATACTGGTTTATACTGGTCCCTACTGGTCCATAGTGGTTTATACTGGTTTATACTGGTCCGTACTGGTGCAGGGGCAGCTGGAGGACGGCACCCAGTTCGACAGCAGCCACAGCCGGGACCCCTTCGTGTTCTCCCTGGGGACCGGCCAGGTCATCAAGGGCTGGGACCAGGGGCTGCTGGGGTGAGGCAAACTGGGCAAACTGGGAGCACTGGGAATGGGCCAGGTCATCAAGGGCTGGGACCAGGGGCTGCTGGGGTGAGGCAAACTGGGAGCACTGGGAGCACTGGGAATGGGCCAGGTCATCAAGGGCTGGGACCAGGGGCTGCTGGGGTGAGGCAAACTGGGCAAACTGGGAGCACTGGGAATGGGCCAGGTCATCAAGGGCTGGGACCAGGGGCTGCTGGGGTGAGGCAAACTGGGCAAACTGGGATGAACTGGGAGCACTGGGAATGGGCCAGGTCATCAAGGGCTGGGACCAGGGGCTGCTGGGGTGAGGCAAACTGGGCACTGGGATGGACTGGGAGCACTGGGAGCACTGGGAGGGACTGGGAGCACTGGGAAATGATGGGTGGGGGGTTCTCCCAAATTTTGGAGACCCCCCATTCCCAAAAATTCCCCCATTCCCAAATTTCCCCTCATTCCCAATTTTCCCATTCCCAAATTTCCCATTCCCAAATTAATTTCCCCCCCATTCCCAAATTTCCCCTCATTCCCAAATTTCCCATTCCCAAATTTCCCCCTCATTCCCAAATTAATTTCCCCCCCATTCCCAAATTTCCCCTCATTCCCAAACTTCCCATTCCCAAATTTCCCCCCATTCCCAAATTAATTTCCCCCCCATTCCCAAATTTCCCATTCCCAAATTAATTTCCCCCATTCCCAAATTCCTCCCCATTCCCAAATTTCCCCAAATTTTTCCCCCATTCCCAAATTCCCCATTCTCAAATTTTCCCAAATTCCCTCATTCCCAAATTCCCCATTCCCAAATTCCCCCCATTCCCAAATTTTCCCAAATTAATTTCCCCATTCCCAAATTTTTCCCCCCACATTCCCAAATTAATTTCCCCCCATTCCCAAATTTTCCCCCCATTCCCAAATTTCCCCCATTCCCAAATTTCCCAAATTTCTCCCCCATTCCCAAATTCCCCATTCCCAAATTCCCCAATTCCCAAATTTCCCTCATTCCCAAATTTTCCCCATTCCCAAATTCCCCCATTCCCAAATTTCCCCCAATTTCCCAAATTGATTTCCCCACCATTCCCAATTTTCCCCCAATTCCCCAAATTTCTCCCCTCATTCCCAAATTCCCCCAAATTTTTCCCCCCATTCCCAAATTTTCCCAAATTTCCCCAAATTTCTCCCCTCATTCCCAAATTTCCCATTCCCAAATTTCCCCATTCCCAAATTCCCCCATTCCCAATTTCCCCCCCATTCCCAAATTTTCCCCCCCCATTCCCAAATTTCCCCAAATTTTTCCCCTCCTATTCCCAAATTTCCCCAAGTTTCCCATTCCCAAATTTCCCCCATTCCCAAATTAATTTCCCCCCATTCCCAAATTCCCCCCCTTCCCATATTATTCCCCAAATTTTTCTCCCATTCCCCAAATTCCCCCCAAAATTAATTTTCCCCATTCCCAAATTCCCACCAAATTTTTCCCCCCTTCCCCAAATTTCCCAAATTTTCCCAAATTCTTCCCCCATTCCCAAATTTTCCCAAATTCCCCTAAATTTCCCATTCCCAAATTCCCCATTCCCAAATTTTCCCATTCCCAAATTTCCCTCCCATTCCCAAATTTTCCCAAATTTCCCCCCTCCCCCCAGGATGTGCGAGGGGAGAAGAGAGGCTCGTCATCCCCCGGAACTGGGTAGGCCCCTCCCAAAAATCTCCTCCCCAAAATCCCCCAAAAAATCCCCCAAAATTTAGGGGACCCCCAAAAAAATTTGGGGGGAGGGCCCTGAGGGGGTTTTGGGGGACTCCCAGGGGAGGGGGTGGGGAGTGTTGGGAGACCCAAGGGTCTCCCAACACTCCCCTCCCCCTTCCCAGGGTCCCCTCTAAACTTTAGGGTCCCTCCAATTTTAGGATCCCCCAAATTTTGGGACCCCCAAATTTTAGTACTCCCCCAAAATTTTGGGGTCTCTCTGATTCCCCTCCCCCTCTCTCTTTTTCAGGTTATGGGGACCGAGGGGCTCCCAAAATTCAGAGTGAGACCCCCACCCTAAAAAGGACCCCCAAAGTCAGGGGGATTTTGGAGTGAAAAGGAGGATTTTGGGGTGAAAGGAGGATTTTGGGGGGGATTTTGGGGGATTTTGGGGTGAAAGGGGGATTTTGGGGGGGATTTTAGGGAGATTTTGGGGTGAAAAAGGAGGATTTTTGGGGAAAGGGGATTTTGGAGGAGTTTTGGGAGTGAAAAGGGGGATTTTGGGAGGTTGGAAGTGAAAAGGGGATCTTGGGGGTGATTTGGGGGTTTTAGGGTGAAAATGGGGATTTTGGGAGTGGAAAAAGGGGATTTTGGGGGATTTTGGGGGATTTTGGGAGTGAGAAGGAGGATTTTGGGGGAATTTTGGGGTGAAAAGGAGGATTTTGGGGGGGATTTTAGGGGATTTTGGGGGTGAAAAAGGGGGATTTTGGGAGGATTTTGAGGTGAAAAAGGAGGATTTTTGGGGTGAAAAAGGGGGGATTTTGGGAGGATTTTTGGGGTGAAAAAGGAGGATTTTTGGGGTGAAAAAGGGGGATTTTTTGGGAGGGTTTTTGGGGTGAAAAAGGAGGATTTTGGGGGTGAAAAAGGGAGGATTTTGGGAGGGTTTTTGAGCTGAAAAAAAGGGGATTTTGGGGGTGAAAAAGGAGGGATTTTGGGAGGGTTTTTGGGGTGAAAAAGGGGGGATTTTGGGGTGAAAAAGGAGGGATTTTGGGGGGGTTTTGGGGTGAAAAAGGAGGATTTTTTGGGAGGATTTTTGGGGTAAAGGAGGATTTTGGGGGTGAAAGGGAGGATTTTGGGAGGGTTTTTGAGCTGAAAAAAAGGGGATTTTGGGGGTGAAAAAGGAGGGATTTTGGGAGGGTTTTTGGGGTGAAAAAGGAGGATTTTGGGGGTGAAAAAGGAGGATTTTGGGAGGGTTTTTGGGGTGAAAAAGGGGGATTTTGGGAGGATTTTTGGGGTGAAAAAGGAGGATTTTTTGGGAGGTTTTGGGGTGAAAAGGGGGATTTTGGGAGGATTTTGGGGTTAGTGGGAGGAATTTGGGGGGGGACAGAGAGAAGGGGATTTTGGGGTTACAGGAGGGGATTTTGGGCTGATTTTGGGGTGACTTTGGGGTCCAAGGGGGGATTTTGGGGTGCAGAGGGCTGATTTTGGGGTTCAGTGGGTGATTTGGGGCTGATTTTGGGGTGCTGGGGCTGATTTTGGGCTGATTTTGGGCTGATTTTGGGTGATTTTGGGCTGATTTTGGGCTGATTTTGGGCTGATTTTGGGGTGCTGGGGCTGATTTTGGGCTGATTTTGGGCTGATTTTGGGGTGCTGGGGCTGATTTTGGGCTGATTTTGGGCTGATTTTTAGGGCTGATTAGGGCTGATTTGGGCTGATTTTAGGCTGATTTGGGAGTTGCTGGGGCTGATTTTGGGGTGCTGGGGTTGATTTTGGGTTGATTTTGGGCTGATTTTGGGGTGCTGGGGCTGATTTTGGGGTGCTGGGGTTGATTTTGGGGTGATTTTGGCTGATTCTGGGCTGATGTGACCCCCCTGCCCAGGGGGGGCCGTGCTCATCTTCGAGGTGGAGCTGCTGAAGATCGAGCGGCGCCCGGAGCTTTAGGGGGGACCCCAAATCCCCCACCCCCAAAACCTCCCCCTCCACCCCCAAAACCCCCAGGGTCCCCCAACCCAAGGGGTCCCCAACCCCTCCCCCTCCCCTCATTTCAAGGGGGCCCCTCGTTTTTGTGGGACCTGGGGGCCACCCGGAGTTTTGGGGGTCCCCCGAGTTTGGGGGTCAATAAAGGGTCCTGTGGGGGGAGGGGCTGGGGGGCACCCGGGTCTGTGGGGTCCATTTTGGGGGGAGGAAATGAGGAGGGAGGGGCCCCAAATGTCAAAGCTGAGTTTTATTAAATTCATATAAAAACAACCCCAAAACGCCCCAACATTTTAAAAAAACTAAAAAACCCCCGAAACCCACCCTTTCCCTCCCCCAAACAAAACCCCACAGGGGGACCCAAAACCCTGGGGCCCCCCAAAACCAGTGGGGGGAGGGGAGGGGTCTGATTATCTTGCAGGGGACCCCGGATTTGGGGGTCCCGGGATTTGGGGTCAGGATTTTGGGGGGAGGGAGGGCTGGGATTGGGGGAGGGGGATCCCAGGATTTTGGGGAGGGGTCATTTCTTCTCGGGGGTGTTGAGTTTCTGCATCCCCGGATCTTCTCCAGCAGGTCCCCACGAACGCCTGGGAGGCAAAGGGGGGTCAGGGGACCCCAAACCCAAATGGGGGTCCCCAGCCCCAGGAACTCCCCATACCACCCCTCCCAAAAATGGGGGTCCAGGTGTCCCCCAGCCCCCAAAAGGGGGTCCAGGTATCCCCAGCCCCCCAAAAAAATGGGGGTCCAGGTGTCCCCCAGCCCCAAGAATCACTCCCCAGGAACTCCCCTTCCCATCCTCCCAAAAAGGGGGGTCTCAGGAGTCTCCCAGCCCACAAAAACACCCCCAGGAGCTCCCCCTTCCCACTCCCCCCAAAAGGGGTCCAGGTGTCCCCCCACCCCCAAAAAGGGGGGTCCCCCAGCCCCAGGAGCTCCCCTTCCCACCCCCCAAAAATGGGGGTCCAGGTGTCCCCCACCCCCAAAAAGGGGGTCCCCCAGCCCCCAGGGGACTCAGGTGCCTCCTTCCCCCAGAAGCCCCTCAGATCCCCCGAAAACAGGCCCCAGGTGCCCCAGACCCCCAAAGGGGGTCTCAGGAGCTCCACCCAAACTGGGGCCCCAGTGTCCCCTCCCCAAAAGGGCACCCAGGACCCCCAGGTGCCCCCAGACCTCCAAAGCCCCCAGGTGCCCCAGACCCCAAAAGGGGTCTCAGGGCTCCACCCCAAGCTGAGGCCCCCAGTGTCCCCCCTCCCCAAAAAGGGCCCCAGGACCCCCAGGCCCCAAAGCACCCCAGGTGCCCTCAGACCCCCAAAAGGGGTCTCAGGTGCTCCCACCCCAAAAAGGGCCCCCAGGACCCCAGGTGCCCAGACCCCAAAGCCCCCAGACCCCCAAAGCCCCCAGGTGCCCCCAGACCCCCAGCCCCCCTCACCTCTGTGGGTTTGCAACAGTCAACGAGGATCTCCTGGGAAATGGGAGGGTCAGGGGACCCAGAGACCCCAAACCCTCCTGGGAGCACCCCAGAGCTCCTGGCCGGTTTGGGGGTCGGGTTGCAGGGGATTTTAAAGAGGATTTTTGGGATGTTTTGAAGGAAGTTTTGGGGAAGGGTTTTGAGAGAGATTTTGGAATTTTGAAGGGAGAATTGAGGGGATTTTGGGGGGTTGGGGGTGGTTTTAGGGGAGGTTTTGGGGTATTTTGGGGAGGAGATTTTCAGGGGATTTTTGGGGTGGATTTTGGGATGGGTTTTGAGGGATTTTGGGATGTTTTGGGGAGCTTTTGGAGGTGGTTTTGGGGAGAATTTTGGGAGTGATTTTGGGAGAGGTTTTGGGGAGGGATTTTGGAGATGTTTAGGGGTGGATTTTGGGGTGGGTTTGAGGAGGAACTTTGGGGGTGTTTAGGGGAGGATTTTGGGTTGAGGGGTTTGGGAGTTGAGGATTTTGGAGGTGATTTGGGGGGGTTTTGGGTTACAGGGTGGTTTTTGGGAGTTGGTTTGGGGTTTGGGGAGTTGAGGAGTTTTGGGGATTTGGAGAGGATTTTGGGGTGTTTGGAGATTTTGGGGATGTTTTGGGGAGGATTTTGGGGGTGGGTTTTGGAGAGGATTTTTGGGAGGTTTTGGGAGCTTAGTTTGGGGTTTGTGTTTTGGGGAGAATTTTGGAGAGGATTTTGGGGAGGTTTGGGAGGGTTTTGGGATGGTTTGAGGGTGGATTTTAGGAGTAGGGTTTGAGGGCATGGGGTTTTGGGGAGGATTTTGAGGGTTTGGGAGGATTTTAGGAGGTGATTTTAGGGATGTTTGAGGGATTTGAGGGTGTGGTTTGGGGTTGGTTTGGGGGTGATTTTGGAGGAGGTTTTTGGGGGATTTTGGGGGATTTTGGGGAGGTTTGGGGATGATTTTGAGGTGGTTTTGGGGTATTTTGGGGATTTGGGAGGTGGTTTGGGAGGAGGATTTTAGGGGTTTGGGAGGTTTTAGGGGTGATTTTTGGAGGTATTTGGGGAGGATTTTGGGGTGATTTTGGAGGTGATTTGGGGGTGGTTTTGGGGAGGGTTTTTGGGGAGTGGTTTTGGGGGAGGAGTTTGGGGTGATTTTTGGGAGTATTTTGGGGAGTTTTTAGGGATGGATTTGGGAGTGGGTTTTGGAGGGATTTTGGGGTGGTTTTGGGAGGATTTGGGGAGTGGTTTTGGGGTGGATTTTGAGGAGTGGTTCTGGGGGCTTTTTGGGGGCTTTGGGGAGGATTTTGGAGGTGATTTTGGGAGGTTTTGGAGGGAGCTTTGGGGTGGTGGATTTTGGGAGGATTTTGGGGCAGGTTTTGGGGTATTTTGGGGGTTTTGAGGGCTTGGGGATTTTGGGGTGGGTTTGGGGGTGATTTTGGGGTGGGTTTTGGGGGTTTAGGGTGATTTTGGGGAGTTTAGGGAGGGTTTGGGGGTAGATTTTGGGGATTTTGGGATGTTTTGAAGGGGCTTTTGGGGTTGGTTTTGGGAAGGATTTTGGGGTGATTTTGGGAGGGTTTGGGTGGATTTTGGGGGTGGGTTTTGGGGGTGATTTTGGGGTGGGTTTGGGAGGGTTTTGGAGGAATTTTGGGGGTTTTGGGAGGATTTTGGGGATTTTGGGATGTTTGGGGGGGCTTTTGGGGTTGGTTTGGGCAGGATCTTGAGGGATTTGGGGGAGGGTTTTGGGGTGGATTTTGGGGTGGGTTTGGGGGTGATTTTGGGGTGGTTTGGGGGTTTTGGAGGGTATTTTGGAGGATTTGGGGTGGATTTTGGAGGGGTTTGGAGGATTTTGAGGGATTTGGGGGAGTTTTGGATGAATTTTAGGGGGTTTAGGGTGGATTTTGGGGATGCTTTGGGGTGGTTTGGGGTGGGTTTGGGGATTTTGGGGTGGTTTGGGAGGTTTGGGTGGGTTTTGGAGGACTTTTGGGATGTTATTGGGGGCTTTTGGGGGTGGTTTTGGGGAGGGGTTTGGAGGTTTTGGAGGGGACTTTAGGGATGTTTGGAGGTGATTTTTGGGGTGGGTTTGGGGGGTTTGGAAGGAATTTTAGGGGGTTTGGGGAGGATTTTGGGGGATTTTGGAGTGGTTTTGAGGGGTTTTGGGGGTGGGTTTGGGGGGATTTTGGAGGAATTTTAGGGGAGAGATTTTGGGGATTTTGGGGGGTTGGGGTATTTTGGGAGGTTTTGGCGTGGATTTTGGGGGTGCGTTTTGAGGGTATTTTTGGGATGTATTGGAGAATGTTTTGAGGAGGATTTTGGGGGAGGATTTTGGGAGTATTTTGGGAGGGTTTTGGGTGGATTTTGGAGGGGTTTTGGAGGGATTTTGGAGGTGGGTTTGAGGGTGGTTTTGGGGGGATTTTGGGGGATTTTGGGATGTTTTGAAGGGGCTTTTTGGGGTTGGTTTTGGGGAGGATTTTGGGGGTATTTTGGGAGGGTTTTTGGGTGGATTTTGGGGTGGGTTTTGGGGGTGATTTTTGGGGTGGGTCTGGGGAGGATTTTGAGGGATTTTGGAGGGGATTTTGGGGATGTTTTGGGGGGATTTTGGGGTGGTTTGGGGTATTTTGGGAGGGTTTTGGGGTATTTTGCGGGGATTTTGGGGATGTTTTGGGGGTTTTTGGGGTGGTTTGGGGATTTTGGGGTGGGTTTTGGGGTTTTGGGGAGGATTTTGGAGGTGATTTTGGGGATGTTTGGGGAGATTTTGGGGAGGATTTTGAGGGGGATTTTGGGGGGATTTTGGGGATGTTTGGGGGGATTTGGGGTGGGTTTGGAGGGATTTTTGGGGTTTTGGGGGCTTTAGGGTTGGTTTGGGGGATTTTGGGGATGTTTTGGGGATGTTTGGGGATTTTGGGGGTTTTTAGGGCACCTGCACGCGGGCGCTGCGGGCGCCGTCGCTCTCCATGTCGAGCAGTTCGTCCACGTCGATCTCCAGCCTCGGGATCTCCTCCTCCTGGGGGCCCCAAATTCGGGGAGGAGACCCCAAATCAGAGAGGACTCCCCAAAAATCCCCCCCAGCGCCTCTGCCACCCCCTCCCCCAAAGCACTGTGGGAAGGGGCACCCCGAGAGTGTGGAGGCCAACAAGGAGATTTTAGGGGGCCCAGAAGGTTTTTGGGGGTCTGGGAGGTGCTGGGGGGTTTCTTTGGGGGAGGGGTCCCAGGATTGGGGGTTTGGGAGAGGTTTTGGGGGAGGAGTCCTGGAGGTTTTGGGGGATCCCAAAACTTGGGGGACTTTGGGTGGGGGAGATCCTGGGGAATTTGGGAAGTCCTGGAGATTGAGGGGGTCCTGATGCCCAATTCGGGAGGGCAGGGTGGGGGTCTGGGAGGGGAGGGTCTGGGAGGGATCCTGAGGGTCCCAGAGGTGGGGGGGAGGGTCCCGGTACCGACCCGAGGGGGGTCCCAGGGGGGGTCCCGGTGCTGATCCCGGGGGGGGTCCCTGCCCCGATCCCGAGGGAGGGGTCTCAGTGCTGATCCTGGGGGGGTCCCTGCCCGGATCCCAGGGGGTCCCTGGGGGGGTTCCTGGGCTGGGGGTCCCTGCCCCAATCCCGATGGGGGTCTCAGTGCTGATCCCGGGGGGTCCCTGGGGGTGTCCCCGACCCCGAGTGGGGGTCCCTGCCCCGATCCCGAGTGGGGGTCCCTGTCCCAATCCCTGTGTTCCCAGGAGGGTCCCTGGGGGTGTCCCCGGCCCGGGGGTCCCTGTCCCGATCCCGAAGGAGGGGTCCCGGTGCTGATCCCGGGGGGGTCCCTATCACGATCCCGGGGGGTCCCGATGCTGATCCCGGGGGTCCCTGTCCCGATCCCAGGGGGTCCCTGGGGGTGTCCCCGATCCCGGGGGGTCCCTGTCCCCAGCCGTGTCCCCCCCCCGGGGGTACCGGGCATTCGTAGAGCTCCATGAGCTGCCTGTCCCCCCTCCCCAGTGCCCCCGTCCCCCGTCCCCCGGTACCGGGCAGTCGTAGAGCTCCATGAGCCCCCTGTCCCCCCTCCCCGGTGCCCCCGTGGCCCCTGTCCCTTCCCCAGTGCCCCCCTGTCCCCCGGTACCGGCCCAGTCGTAGAGCTCCATGACCCTCCTGTCCCCCTGTCCCCCATCCCGATGCCCCCGGTACCGGGCAGTCGTAGAGCTCCATGAGCCCCCTGTCCCCCCTCCCCTGTCCCCCTGTCCCCCTGTCCCCCATCCCGGTGTCCCCGGTGCCGGGCATTCGTAGAGCTCCATGAGCCCCTGTACCCCCCGTCCCCCTCCCCAATGCCCCCCGGTTACCAGGCAGTCGTAGAGCGCCGTGAGCTGCCTGTACCCCCTCCCCAGTGCCCCCGTACCCCTGTCCCCCGGTGGGTTCCGGGCAGTCGTAGAGCGCCGTGAGCTGCCTGTACCCCCTGTCCCCCTGTCCCCCATCCCAGAAGCCCCGGGTACCAGGGCAGTCGTAGAGCTCCATGACCCCCTGTCCCCCTCCCCGTGTCCCCTGGGTACCAGGCAGTCAGTAGAGCTCCATGACCCCCTGTACCCCCTGTCCCCCATCCCGATGCCCCCGGTTACCGGGCAGTCGTAGAGCTCCATGACCCCCTGTCCCCCCCTCCCCGTGTCCCCCGGGTACCGGAGCAGTCGTAGAGCTCAATGACCCCCTGTACCCCCCTGTCCCCTCCGTCCCCCGGGTACCGGGCAGTCGTAGAGCTCTGTGAGCCCCTTTAACCCCCTGTCCCCCTGTCCCCCGGTGGGTACCGGGCAGTCAGTAGAGCTCCGTGAGCTGCCTGTACCCCCTGTCCCCCTGTCCCCCTCCCCAATGCCCCCGGTTACCGGGCAGTCGTAGAGCGCCGTGAGCTGCCTGTACCTCCCCTGTCCCCCTGTCCCCCCATCCCTGTACCCCCGGTTACCGGGCAGTCGTAGAGCTCAATGACCCCCTGTACCCCCTGTCCCCCTGTCCCCCGGTGGGTACCAGGCAGTCGTAGAGCGCCGTGAGCTGCCGCAGGATCCACTCCTCGAGGTGGAGGCGCTTGCGGAGCTCCCTTCGGTCGTAGCGCACCGTGACCTTCCCGCGGCCCCGGCCCGCGCCTCGTCCCCGCCCCGGCCGCGGGGCGAAGCAGACGCAGGGCCCGCCCGGGGTCCCTGGGGGCGCTGCCGGGGCCGGGGGTCCCCGGGAGGGGGCCCGAGGGGGCCCGAGGGGCCGGGCCCTCCGCGCGGCTCCGCCATGGCCGCGACCACCGAGAGGAAGCGGCCACGCCCCCTGCCCGCCACGGCCACGCCCCCCACCCGGGGCTCCTTCCGCCAGCGCGGGGGCCCTTTGTGAGCGGGGGACACGCCCACTCAACCGGGACACGCCCACCGAGCACCGGGACACACCCACCGGGCACCGGGACACGCCCACCGGACACCGGGACACACCCACTAAACCGGGACACGCCCACTGGGCACCGGGACACGCCCACTAAACCGCGACACGCCCACCGGACACGCCCACCGGGCAGGGACACGCCCACTAAACCGGGGACAAGCCCACTAAAACAAGACACGGGCACCGGGACACGCCCACCGGACACCGGGACACGCCCACTCAACCGGGACACGCCCACCGAGCGGGAACACGCCCACCGAGCAGGGACACGCCCACCCACACCGGGACACGCCCACCGGACACCGGGACACGCCCACCGAGCAGGGACACACCCACCGAGCACGGACACGCCCATCGGTCAGGGACACTCCCACCGAGCAGGGACACGCCCACCCCACACCGGGACACGCCCACTAAACCGGGACACACTGACCACACACCGGAACCGGGACACGCCCACCGGACACCGGGACACGCCCACCAAACCGGGACACGCCCACCACGGAGGAAACGCCCGTCCCATAGGGACACGCCCATCCCGATTAGACACGCCCACCGAAAGCCACGCCCTCTGCTGACACCCCACGCTTTCAACCACAAACCCCGCCCCCTTTCGTTCAGCCACGCCCCTCGCGTTGATCACGCCCCTCCCCGGCGCGGCCCCCGCCTTGCCCGGACCCCCCAAAATCGCGGCCTCCTTCTTGTGCCACGCCCTTTTCTTAGTCCCGCCCACACGAGGCTCCACCCCTCGATGGCTCCTCCCCCGCCCCGCCCATTTCCTCCGCCCCGCCCCTCCGCTTTGGCCCCGCCCTCTCCTTTTTATCGCCAGGAGCTCCATCCCTTCCTGGCCCTGCCCCTTTCAGAGGCCCCGCCCCCGATCCCTTCGGCCCCGCCCCATTCCTGAACGGCGCCGGTGACTCCACCCCGATCTTTGGCCCCGCCCACATTCCCTTGTGCCCCGCCCCTCCCGCGCTGGCCCCGCCCCTCCCGCGCTGGCCCTGCCCCTCCGCGCTGGCCCCGCCCCGTGGGCGCTCGGCGATGGCGGCCCTGGTGCCGGTGCCGGCCCCGCTCCCGCTGGAGCCGCCGCGGTGCCTGAGATGCTCGTGCGGGGCAGCAAATTCATCCGCTGGGACGAGGTGAGCGGGACCCCAGGATCCCCAGGATCCCCCGATCCCGAGCCCACCCCCGAACCGCCCCTGTCACTCCCGGACCGATCCCCGCGACCCCTGGACCCACCCCCGGTACTCCCGGACCGATCCCGCGACCCCGGACCCACCCCTGGTACTCCCGGACCGACTCCCAGGACCCCGGCATCCCTGGACCGACCCCAGGACCCCGGAACTCCGAACCCACCCCGGGCACTCCCGGACCGATCCCCAGGACCCCGGACCGATCCCCAGGACCCCGGACCCACCCCGGTACTCCCGGACCGATCCCTGGACCCACCCCAGGCACTCCCGGACCGATCCCAGGACCCCGGGACCCCGGATCCACCCTCAGGCACTCCTGGACCGACCCCAGGACTCCTAGGACCCCCGAGCCCACCGCCCGAACCGCTCCCCGCCATTCCTGGACCGATCCCAGGACCCCCGGATCCCTAGAGCCCACCCAGGACCCCAGAAACGAACTCCCGGACCGATCCCCACGACCCCAGGACCCCTGAGCCCACCCCGAGACCCCCTGAACTCCACCCCAGGACTCCCTGGACTCGACCCCCGGGACCCTCCAGGACCCCCTGGATCCCTGAGCCCACCCAGGACCCCTGAAACGATCCCCGGACCGGACCCCAGGACCCCGAGGCCCACCCTGGGACCCCTGGACTCGACCCCAGGACCCCCAGGATCCCAGAACCCAACCCAGGACCCCAGAAACAGAACCCCGGACTGATCCCAGGACCCCGGGACCCCAGAGCGGCTCTCAGGACCCCAGAGCGACCCCAGGACCCTCCTGAGCTGTCCCGTGGAACTCCCGGAACTTCCCAAGCGACCCCCGGGACCCGGACAACCGACCCCCCGGACCCCCCGGAACTTCCCGAGCCTCCCCCGAGATCCCCCAGAGCGACCCCGGGGCTCCCAAACCAACCCTCGGAACTCCTGACCCTCCCAGGACCCCTGAACCGATCCCCAGGACCCCCCGAGTGCTCCTGGGACCCCAAACCTCCCAGGACCCCGAGTGATCCTGGGACCCCAAACCTCCCCGGGACCCCCAAACCTCCCCGAGACCCTCGAGTGCTCCAGCAGGACCCCCAAACCTCCCCAGGACCCCTGAGTGCTCCCTAGGACCCCCAGGACTCCTGAGACCCTGAGACCGACCCTGGGACCCCCAAACCAACCCCTGGGACCCCAAACCAACCCCTGGGACCCAAAGCCGACCCCCTGGGACCCTCAAACCAACCCTAGGACCCTCAAACCAACCCTGGGACCCTGAACTGACCCCAGGACCCTCAAACCAACCCTGGACCCCGAACCGACCCCAGGACCCCCAAACCAACCCTGGGACCCAAACTGATCCCCTAGGACCCCAAACCAACCCTAGGACCCCTGGGACTCCCGAACCGCCTCCTAGGACCCCCAAAATCGCCCCCCAATCCCCTCAGGACCCTCCCAAATCACCCCAAGCCCATCCGGGATCCCCAAATCTGCCCCAAATCCCCTCAGGACCCCCAAATCACCCCCCAGAGCAACGTGGACCCCCAAATCACCCCCAAGCCCTCCCTGAAGCCTCAAAGACCCCCAAAACCCAGGACACCCAAATCCCCCTCGAGTCACCCCCAAATCTTCCTGAGGCCCCCATAGGACCCCCAATCCTCCCCAGGACCCCCAGACCCTCCCTGAAACCCTTAAAGACCCCCAGACCCGCCCCAAAAGCCCCCAAACCTCCCTGGGACCCCCAAAATTGTCCTCAAAGCCCCCAAATCTTCCCAAGCCCCACCCGGCCCCCAAAATGATCCCAAACTCCCCTCGAACTCCCAGAGGGTCCCCAAATCCCCCAGAACGGCCAAATCACCCCAAAATCCCGCTGGGGACCCCCAAACCCTCCCTGAGACCCCTCAAGTCTCCCCTAAATCCACCCTGAGCCCCTCAGTTCCTCCCCAGAGCCACCTGGGACCTCCCCAAATCTCCCCCAAAACGCCCAAATCTCCCCAAAACCCACCCAGCCTCCCCCAAATCTCCCCCAAACCCACCTGGACCCCCAAATCATCTCCAAGCCCCCTGAAAGCCCAAATCACCCTCTCCCCCTCCCCCAGAATTTTCCCCAAATCCACCCCGAACCCCTTAAATCTCCCCAAATCCCCTAAACCCCACCCAGAACCAACCCAGGACCCCCAGTTCTCCCCTCAATCCCCAGGACCCCCAACCCCCCTCCAGCTCCTCCTCGACCCCCAATCCATCAAGGACCCCCAGTTTTGCCCCCTCTCCTTTTCCTCCCCTCCCTCTTCGTGACCCCTTTTCCAGCCCTGACCCCGTTTTGGGGCCAGAAAATGGAAATTGGGTCCCCCAGGGCGGGTCCCTCGAGACCCCCAAACCCCTCAAGTCCCCATTTCACCCCAAATTCCTCGTTCTCCCCGGGTTTTGGGGAGGGCACCAATTAGGGCTTCCCCTCCCCTTTTAAGGCCCCTCCCCCTTTTAGGGCGTGGCCCCCCTTTTCCGGCACTTTATGGGGTCAAAGTCCTCGGGAGGGCCGCCCTCCCCACCAATCACCCCACATTTTGGGGGGCCCCGAGAAGGCTGGGGGCGGGGGAGCCCTGGGAGGGTTTTTGGGGTCCCTGCGCTGCTTTTGGGGTCCCTGGAGGGTGGGGGATTTTGGGGTCCCAGAGGGGTTTGGGAGTCCCTGGGGGGTTTGGGGGTCCTGGGTGGTTTGGGGGGTCTTTGGGGTGTATTTTTGGGGTTCCTGGGTGTTTTAGGGGGTCTTTGGGGTGTTTTTGGGGTTCCTGGGTGGTTTGGGGGTCTTTGGGGTGTTTTTGGGGGGTCTTTGGGGTGTTTTTTGGGGGTTCCTGGGTGTTTTTAGGGGGTCTTGGGGTGTTTTTGGGGGTTCCAGGGGTGGTTTTGGGGGTCTTTGAGGGTGTTTTTGGGGGTTCCTGGGCTGGTTTAGGGGGTCTTTGAGGTGTTTTTGGGGGTTCCTGGGCTGTTTTAGGGGTCTTTGGGGACCCCGGGCTGGTTTTGGGGTCCCCGTGTGTGTGGGGGTCCCAAATAATTTTGGGGTCCCTTGGGAAGGGGTTTAGGGGAGGGTTTGGGGGATGCTGGGAGGGGTTTGGGGGTTTGGGGGTGCTGGGAGGGGTTTTGGGGGTGCTGGGAGGGGTTTGGGGGTCAGGGGTTTTGGGGGGTCAGGAGGTTTTGGGGTGCTGGGAGGGGTTTGGGGGTTTTGGGGGTCAGGGGTTTTGGGGGTGCTGGGAGGGTTTGGTGGGGTCAGGGGCTTTGGGGACCCCCCCAGGCCCCATTTCCCCCAGGAGCCCCCCAGCCGCACCCCGGTGACGCTGCGCGTGGACCCCGACGGATTCTTCCTCTACTGGACCGGGCCCAGCACGGTGAGGGACCCCCAAAAACCACCCCAAAAAATGAGCCCCAAAAACTGAGCCCCAAAACCTGAGCCCCAAAACAGGGACCCCCAAAACCACCCCAAAAACTGAACCCCAAAATGAACCCCAAAAAATGAACCCCAAAAAATGAACCCCCAAAAACCACCCCAAAAACTGAGCCCCCAAAAACTGAGCCCCAAAAAATGAACCCCCCAAAACAGGGACCCCCAAAACTGACCCTCAAAACTGACCCCCAAAAACCACCCCTGAAAGGGGAACCCCAAAAACTGAGCCCCAAAAAATGAACCCCCCAAAACTGACCCTCAAAAATGAACCCCCAAAAACCACCCCTGAAACAGGAACCCCAAAAAATGAGCCCCAAAAACTGAGCCCCAAAAATCACCCCTGAAACGGGAACCCCAAAACAGGGACCCCCAAAAACCACCCCTGAAACAGGAACCCCAAAAATGAACCCCATAAAATGAACCCCAAAAAATGAACCCCCCAAAACTGACCCTCAAAACTGACCCCCAAAAACCACCCCTGAAACGGGAACCCCAAAAAATGAACCCCATAAAATGAACCCCCAAAAAATGAACCCCAAAAACTGAGCCCCAAAACAGGGACCCCAAAAACTGAGCCCCAAAAAATGAAACCCAAAAACTGAACCCTAAAAAAATGAACCCCCAAAAAATGAACCTCCAAAAAGGAACCCCAAAAAATGAGCCCCAAAAATCGAACCCCAAAACAGGACCCCCAAATCCCTGCCTCCCCAAATCCTGCCTCCCTCCGAAATCCCCGAAACCCCAAATCTCCTCAAACCCCCAAAATTGCCCAAAACCCCCAAATCCCCCAAATCCCCCAAAATCCCCTCAAATCCCCCATTCAAATCCCCCTCAAACCCCCAAATCCCCGGAAGGCCCTGCCTCATCGCCTTGCCCAGCCGCGATTTTGGGGCTCCCTGCCCCTCCCTCCCGGGGACCCCACATCCGGGGAGGGGCATTCCGGCGGCCGAGGGTGGGGAGGGGCGTGGAAAGGCCTCCCTTCCCCTCCCCCCAGCAAGCGGCTCCGGACACTGAAGGGGGTTGGGGGCTGGAGGGGGGCTCCAAAACTTCGTGACCCCCAAATTTGGGGTCCCCCTACCTCGATACCCCCCACCCGGGAGGGGAGGGTGACTCCCTGGGCCCCCCAAACCCCTGGGTATTTTTGGGGGTCTCTCCCAAATCCCCTTTTGGGGCCCCTGTGACCCCATTTTTTGGGGGGTGGGAGGGGTCAGCCCTACCCCCTCCCACACTTTTGGGGTCCCCCGACCCCCAATTTTCTGGGGTTCCCTCTGGCCCTCCCCAATTTTTAGACCCCTTTGCTCCCCTGATCCCCAAACCACTGAACCCCCCCAATCTTTGGGGTGACCTCCCAATTTTGGGGTTCACTCCCATCTCCCTGCACCCCTCATTTTTGGGGTGACTCCCATTTGGGGTTCACTCCATCCCCTCTGCACCCTCCCACTTTTGGGTGACTCTCCCAATTTTGGGGTTCGCCCCATCTCCTGACCCCTCATTTTTGGGTCCTCTCCCATCTCTCTGTGCCCCCCCATTTCTGCTCCCCTGTTTGGGCTCTGCCCCATTTGGGGTCCCCCGACCTCCCTTTGGGGTCCCTTTTCCCTTTTGGGCTCTCCCCCCTTGGGGGTCCCATTTTTGGGGTCCCTCTCCCCCTTTTGGGCTCTCCCCTATTTGGGACCCCCTTTTGGGGTCCCTGAGAAATTTTTGGGGTTCCTGAGCAGTTTTTTGGGGTCCCTAAGGCATTTTTGGGGTCCCTGAGCAGTTTTTGGGGTGCCCTGAGCAGTTTTGGGGTCCCTGAGCAGTTTTTGGGGTCCCTGAGGTGTTTTTGGGGTCCCTGAGCAGTTTTGGGGTCCCTGAGCAGTTTTGGGGTCCCTGAGGTGTTTTTGGGGTCCCTAAGGCATTTTTGGGGTACCCTGAGCAGTTTTTTGGGGTCTCTGAGCAGTTTTGGGGTACCCTGAGCAGTTTTTTGGGGTCCCTGAGCAGTTTTTGGGGTGCCCTGAGCAGTTTTTGGGGTCCCTGAGCAGTTTTTGGGGTGCCCTGAGCAGTTTTTGGGGTCCCCAAGGCAATTTTTGGGGTCCCTGAGCAGTTTTTGGGGTCCCCAAGGCAGTTTTTGGGGTTCCTGAGCAGTTTTTGGGGTGCCCTGAGCAGTTTTGGGGTCCCTGAGCAGTTTTGGGGTCCCTGAGCAGTTCTGGGGTGCCCTGAGATGTTTTTGGGGTCCCTGAGGTGTTTTTGGGGTGCCCTGAAGTGTTTTTGGGGTGCCCTGAGCAGTTTTTGGGGTCCCTGAGGCGTTTTTGGGGTCCCTGAGGCATTTTTGGGGTGCCTGAGCAGTTTTTGGGGTGCCCTGAGCAGTTTTTGGGATCCCTGAGGTGTTTTTGGGGTCCCCAAGGCAGTTTTTGGGGTTCCTGAGCAGTTTTGGGGTCCCTGAGGCATTTTTGGGGTCCCTGAAGTGTTTTTGGGATCCCTAAGGCATTTTTGGGGTCCCTAAGGCATTTTTGGGGTTCCTAAGGCATTTTTGGGGTCCCTGAGGTGTTTTTGGGGTCCCAGAGGTGTTTTTGGGGTCCCCGAGGTGATTTTGGGGTGCCCTGAGCAGTTTTTGGGGTGCCCTGAGCAGTTTTGGGGTGCCCTGAGCAGTTTTTTGGGGTCTCTGAGGCGTTTTTGGGGTCCCTGAGCAGTTTTTGGGGTCCCTGAGCAGTTTTGGGATCCCTGAGGCAGTTTTTGGGGTCCCTGAGCAGTTTTGGGGTCCCTGAGGTGTTTTTGGGATCCCTGAGGCATTTTTGGGGTGCCCTGAACAGTTTTTGGGGTCCCTGAGCAGTTTTTGGAGTCCCTGAGCAGTTTTTGGGGTCCCTGAGCAGTTTTTCGGGTGCCCTGAGCAGTTTTTGGGGTCCCTGAGCAGTTTTTGGGGTCTCTGAGCAGTTTTTTGGGTGCCCTGAGCGGTTTTTGGGGTGCCCTGAGCAGTTTTTTGGGATCCCTGAGGCATTTTTGGGGTCCCTGAGGTGTTTTTGGAGTCCCTGAGCAGTTTTGGGGTCCCTGAGCAGTTTTTGGGGTCCCTGAGGCATTTTTGGGGTTCCTGAGGCGTTTTTGGGGTCCCTGAGGTGTTTTTGGGATCCCTGAGCAGTTTTGGGGTCCCTGAGCAGTTTTTGGGGTCCCTGAGCAATTTTGGGATCCCTGAGGTGATTTTGGTGTCCCTGAGCAGTTTTTGGGGTCCCTGAGGCATTTTTGGGGTCCCTGAGGCGTTTTTGGGGTCCCTGAGGCATTTTTGGGGTGCCTGAGCAGTTTTTGGGGTGCCCTGAGCAGTTTTTGAGATCCCTGAGCAATTTTGGGGTCCCTGAGGTGTTTTTGTGGTGCCCTGAGCAGTTTTGGGGTACCTGAGGCATTTTTGGGGTCTCTGAGGCGTTTTTGGGGTCCCTGAGGTGTTTTTGGGGTCCCTGAGCAGTTTTTTGGGGTCCCTAAGGCATTTTTGGGGTGCCCTGAGCAGTTTTTGGGGTCCCTGAGCAGTTTTGGGATCCCTGAGGTGTTTTTGGGGTCCCTGAGCAGTTTTGGGGTCCCTGAGGTGTTTTTGGGGTCCCCAAGGCAGTTTTTGGGGTGCCCTGAGCAGTTTTTGGGGTCCCTGAGCAGTTTTTGGGGTGCCCTGAGCAGTTTTTGGGGTCCCTGAGGTGTTTTTGGGGTGCCCTGAGCAGTTTTTTGGGGTCCCTGAGCAGTTTTTGGGGTCTCTGAGGTGTTTTTGGGGTCCCACAGGAGGTGGAGCTCTTGGACATCACGACCATCCGGGACACCCGCACGGGACGCTTCGCCCGCGCCCCCAAGGTGGGGGGACCCCAAAATCGGGGGAGACCCTCAAAATCGGGGGGACCCTAAAATCGGGGGACCCCAAAATCGGGGAAGTGGGGGCTGGTGTGGGGACCCCAAAACAATGGGGGGCTGGGGACCCTAAAACGGGGGTGGGGGCTGGGGACCCTGAAACAATAGGGGGAGGGGCTGGGGGACCCTGAAACAACGGGAGGGGCTGGGGACCCCAAAATCGGGGGCTGGGGGCTGGGGGACCCAAAACAATGGGAGGGGCTGGGGACCCCAAACAATGGGGGGAGGGGCTGGGGACCCCAAAATTGGGGGCTGGGGGACCCCAAAATTAGGGGAGGGGCTGGGGACCCCAAAATCAGGGGGTGGGGGCTGGGGACCCCAAAATCAGGGGCTTGGGGGGGCTGGGGACCCCAAAAACAATGGGGAGGGGCTGGGGACCCTAAAATCGGGGGCTGGGGGCTGGGGGACCCCAAAAACAATGGGAAGGGGTTGGGGACCCCAAAACAACTGGGGGACACCCCAAAACCGGGGGCTGGGGGAGGGATGGGGTTCCAGGACCCCAGACCTGGGGGGTTTTGGGGTCCCTGGGGGTATTTTGGGGTACAGTTTGGGGGTCTCTGGGTACATTTTTGGGGTCTCTGGTTACATTTTTGGGGTCTCTGCTCTGTTTTGGGGTGCAGGACCCCCGGAGCCGTGAAGCCCTGGGTTTTGGGGTCCCTGGGGGTCCCTGGGGGGTGTATTTTGGGGGTCTCTGAGCACGTTTTGGGGTCTCTGGGTACATTTTGGGGTGCAGGACCCCCGCAGCCGTGAGGCCCTGAGTTTTGGGGTCCCTGGGGGTCCCTGGGGTGTATTTTGGGGTACATTTTTGGGGTCTCTGGGTACATTTTTGGGGTCTGTGCTCTGTTTTGGGGTGCAGGACCCCCAGAGCCGTGAAGCCCTGGGTTTTGGGGTCCCTGGGGGTCCCCCTCCCCAGCGCCTCCTGACCGTGGTGCACGGACCCGACATGGTCAACCTCACCTTCCTCAACTTCGTGGCCGTCCAGGACGACGTGGCCAAGGTGGGGAGGGGGCTCAGGGGCTCTGGGGGCTCTGGGGGTCTGGGGGCTCTGGGGGTCTGGGGAGCTCTGGGTGCCCGTTTTGGGGTCCCCGGGGGTTTAGGGGTCCCAGGGTGTCCCTAGGAAGTGTTTGGGAGTCCCTGGGTGGGGGTCTGGGGGTCCTTGGGAGGGTTTTGGGGGTCCCTGAGTGGGTTTTGGGGGTCCCTGGGTGGGTTTAGGGGTCCCTGGGTGGGTTTGGGGGTCCCTAAGTGGGTTTTGGGGGTCCCTGGGAGGGTTTTGGGGGTCCCTGGGTGGGTTTGGGGGTCCCTGGGTGGGTTTTGGGGGTCCCTGGGAGGGTTTGGGGGTCCCTGGGTGGGTTTGGGGTCCCTGGGTGGGTTTGGGGGTCCCTGGGAGGGTTTTGGGGTCCCTGGTGGGTTTTGGGGTCCCTGGGTGGGTTTGGGGGTCCCTGGGTGGGTTTGGGGGTCCCTGGGGGGGTTTGGGGGTCCCTGGTGCATTTTGGGAGTCCCTTGGGAGGGTTTTGGGGGTCCCTGGGAGGGTTTTGGGGGTCCTTGGGTGGGTTTTGGGGGTCCCTGGGTGGGTTTGGGGGGTCCCTTGAGGGGTTTGGGGGGTCCCCAAGTGGGTTTGGGGGTCCCTGGGTGGGTTTGGGGGTCCCTGGGCAGGGTTTGGGAGTCCCTGGGTGGGTTTTGGGGGTCCCTGGGGGGGTTTTGGGGATCTCTGGGAGGGTTTTGGGGTCCCAGGATGGTTTTTGGGGTCCCTGGGAGGGTTTTGGGGGTTCTGACACCCCCTCCCCTCAATTTTGGGGTCCCCCAGGTGTGGACGGACGAGCTGTTCCAGCTGGCCATGAACATCCTGGCCAGGAACGGCTCCAGGAACACCTACCTGAGGAAGGCGTGGGTACCCCAAAAACCCCCCAAAACCGCCCCCAAAACCCCCCCAAAATCATCCCTGAACCCCAAAAACCCCAACACCCACCTGAGGAAGGCGTGGGTACCCCAAAACCACCCCAAAACGGCCCCAAAACAGCCCCAAAACCACCCCAAAAACACCTCAAAATCATCCCTGAACCCCAAAACCCCAACACCTACCTGAGGAAGGCGTGGGTACCCCAAAAACACCCCAAAAACACCCCAAAAACACCCCCAAAAACCAGCCCAAAATCATCCCTGAACCCCAAAACCCCAGCACCCACCTGAGGAAGGCGTGGGTACCCCAAAAACACCCCAAAAAAATGGCCCCCAAACCCCCCCCAAAACCACCCCAAAATCATCCCTGAACCCCAAAACCCCCAGCACCCACCCCAGGAAGGCGTGGGGACCCCAAAAACCCCCAAAGACCCCAAAACCACCTCAAAGCCTTCCCTGGACCCCTCATGTCCTCACCCTCTTCCCAAACCCCTCTGGGGCTCCTTCCCCAAATTTGTGGGTCCCCTACTACCCCCAGATTTGGGGTCCCTCTGATTTGGGGTCCTCCAATTTGGGGTCCCCCTGCCCCCAAGATTTGGGGTCCTCCCATTTCGGGTCCCTCGTGCCCTTAGATTTGGGGTCCTCTCCCAATTTGGGGTCCCCCCAATTTGGGGTCCCCTCAGATTTGGGGTCCCTCTGCCCCCAGATTTGGGTTCCCTCAGTTTGGGGTCCTCCAATTTAGGGTCCCCTGTGCCCCCAGGTACTACGAAGCTGACCCTGCAGGTGAACCAGGAGGAAAGATCCCGGTTAAGAAGTGAGTGACCCCAAATTGGGCTAAACCCCCCAAAACGGGACCCCAGAGTCGGGGACCCCCCAAAACCCCTCCCCCAACCTCCTCCCCAAATTTTGGGGTCCCCCCCTCTTCCCCCTCCCCTTTTTTCTGCTTTCCTGAAGTCCCCAAAGCCCCCTAGGCCCCCAAATTTTAGGGGACCCTTTTTGGGGTTGCCCTGAATTTCTTGGGACCCTCCCCCAAAAAATTCAGGGGTTCCCCCTCCACCCCCAAATTTTGGGGTCTCCTCTTTCCTCCTCCCCTTTCTTTTCCCCCTTCTTCCATGGTGACCCCAAAGCCCCCTGAGTTCCCTCCTTTGGGGACCCCTTTTATTGGGGGTCCCCTGAATTTCTGGGGCTCCCCGGAGGTTTTGGGGTCCCTGACCCTCAGGGACCCCCTAAAATGTGGGGGTGCCCCTGGCAGCATCCTCAAGATGTTCTCGGCCGACAAGAAGAGGGTGGAGACGGCGCTGAGTCGGCGGGCTCAGCTGCACCAGGGTAGGGACCCCAAAATGGGGACTCCCTAAAATCACTGACCTCAAAATCACTGACTCCCCAAAATTCGGGCTCAGCTGCACCAGGGTAGGGACCCCAAAATTCGGGGACCCCCCAAAATCAGGGACCCCCAAAATCGAGCCCAGCTGCACCAGGGTAGGGACCCCCAAATTGGGACCCTCAAAATTGGGCTGCACACCCAGGGTAGGGACCCCAAAAATCACTGACCCCCCAAAATCACTGACCCCCAAAATCAGGCTCAGCTGCACTCCGGGTAGGGACCCCAAAAATGGGGACCCCCCCCAAAATCGGGCTCAGCTGCACCAGGGTAGGGACCCCAAAAATGGGGACCCCCAAAAACAAACAGGGACCCCCCAAAAATCACTGACCCCCCAAAATCGGGCTCAGCTGCACCAGGGTAGGGACCCCAAAATTGGGGACACCCTAAAAATAGGGACCCCCCCAAAATCACTGACCGCCCCAAAAACAAACAGGGACCCCCCAAAAATCAGGGACACCTCCAAAATCGGGCTCAGCTGCACCGGTAGGGACCCCAAAACGGGGGACCCCAAAATGGGACACCTCAAAATCACTGACCCCCAAAATCGGGCTCAGCTGCACCGGTAGGGACCCCAAAATCACTGGCCCCCCAAAACAAACAGGACCCCTAAAATCACTGACCCCAAAATCGGGCTCAAGCTGCACCAGGGTAGGGACCCCAAAATGGGACCCTCCCAAAATCGGGCTCAGCTGCACCAGGGTAGGGACCCCAAAATTGGGGACCCCTCCGTAAAATCAGGCTCAGCTGCACCAGAAGTAGGGACCCCCAAAATCAGGGACCCCCAAAATCGGGCTCAAGCTGCACCCAGGGTAGGGACCCCAAAAGCAGGGGACACCCTAAAAATAGGGACCCCAAAATCACTGACCCCCCCAAAAACAAACAGGGACCCCCCAAAAATGGGAGACCCCAAAATCAGGCTCAGCTGCACCCGGGTAGGGACCCCAGAAATGGGGACCCCAAAAACAGAGACCCCAAAAACAAACAGGGACCCCCCCCAAAATCACTGACCTCCCCAAAATCGGGCTCAGCTGCACCAGGGTAGGGACCCCAAAATCCGGGACCCCCCCCATTTTTAGGCTTCCCCCCTTTTTTTAGGGTTTTCCTCCATTATTTGGGGTTCTCCTCCATTATTTGGGGTTCCCCCCCATTATTTGGGGTTCCCCCCTATTTTTTAGGCTTCCCCCCATTTTTTAGGGTTCTCCTCCATTATTTGGGATTTTCATCCCATTTTTAGGGTTCCCCCCCATTTTTTAGGGTTCTCCTCCATTATTTGGGGTTCTTCTCCATTATTTGGGGTTCCCCCCCATTTTTCAGGGCTCTCCTCCATTATTTGGGATTTTCACCCCATTTTTAAGGTCCCCCCCATTTTTTAGGGTTCTCCCCATTATTTGGGGTTCTGCTCCATTTTTAGGGTTCTCCTCCATTATTTGGGGTTTCCCCCCCATTTTTTAGGGTTCTCCCCCATTATTTGGGGTTCTCCCCCCATTTTTTGGGGGGGTTCCCTCCATTTTTAGGGCCCGTTCTTTGGGGGGAAGGTTTTTCCTCCCCTCATTTCTGGATCTTCTCCCCCTCCCCTCCCTGTTTCCCCCCCCTGATTTTTTGGGGTGTTCCTGAGTAGTTTGGGGGCCCCTTTGGGGTGTTTCTGAGCAGTTTGGGGGCTCCTTTGGGGTGTTCTTGAGCAGCTTGGGGGCTCCTTTGGGGTGTTCTTGGAGCAGTTTGGGGGTTCCTTGGGGTGTTCTTATGAGCAGTTTGGGGGCTCCTTTGGGGTGTTCTTGAGCAGTTTAAGGCTCCTTTGGGGTGTTCCTGAGCAGTTTGGGGGCTCCTTTGGGGTGTTCTTGAGCAGTTTGGGGGTTCCTTTGGGGTGTTCCTGAGCAGTTTAGGGGCTCCAGGAGGTGTTCCTGAGCAGTTTGGGGGTTCCAGGGGGTCTCTGGGGTGCTGAGGACCCTCCCAATGTTTGGGGTCCTGCAGGGGCTTGAGGCCATTCTCCGAAATGTTCCCATTGGGACGTTCCGCGCTTCCTGAGCAAGCCCTGCCTGCGGCCCGAGCCTGGACAAGATCCTGCTGAGATGTGAGACCCCAAAAACGGCCTTTGGGGGGCCTGGGGGTTGGGGTCACCCCAGGGGGTTTGGGGTCACCCTGGGGAGTTTGGGGTCACCCTGGGGGCTGGGGTCACCCCAGGGGGTTTGGGGTCACCCCAGGGGGTTTGGGGGTCACCCTGAGGGGGCTTTGGGGGTGACCCGGGGATTTGGGGTCACCCTGAGGGGTTTGGGGTAACCCCGAGGGGATTTGGGGTCACCCTGGGGGGGTTTGGGGTCACCCTCGGGGGGTTTGGGGTCACCCTGGGGGGATTTAGGGTAACCTCGGGAGGTTTGGGGTGCCCAGACCCCCAGTTGAGGCTCTGGGAAACCCCACGGGGTCAGGGTCCCCCCTGGGTGAGTTTTGGGGTTTCCATTGGGATATTTTGGTTTCTGTGGGATATTTTGGGTTCTGTGGGATATTTTGGGGTTCCTGACCCCGTTTTCCCAGGGGGCTGGCGGGGAAGCCCCACGGGGTCAGGGGCACCCCTGGGTGTGTTTTTTGGTTTCCATTGGGATATTTTGGGTTCTGTTGGATATTTTTGGGTTCCTTTGGGATATTTTGGGGTTCCCCTGTGTTTTTTGGGGTGCCCTGACCCCGTTTCCCCAGGGGGCTGGCAGGGAAGCCCTACCTGAGCCGGGAGCAGCTCCGGGACTTCGTCAACACTCGGCAGAGGGACCCGCGGCTCAACGAGGTTCTGTTCCCACCCCTGAGCCCCGAGCAGGCCCAGACCCTGATCGAGCGCTACGAGCCCAACCCCTCCTTCAGGGACAGGGGTAAGGACTGGGGGGACAGGGACAGGGACAGGGACAGGGATGGGGACAGGGACAGGGACAGACCCTGATCGAGCGCTACGAGCCCAACCCCTGCTTCAGGGACAGGGGTAAGGACAGGGACAGCAGGGACAGGGACAGGGATGGGGACAGGGGGACAGCAGGGACAGGGGTAAGGATGGGATGGGGACAGGGGATGGGGACAGGGACAGGGGACGGCAGGGACAGGGACAGGGATGGGGACAGGGGACAGCAGGGACAGGGTAAGGATGGGATGGGGACAGGGATGGGGACAGGGACAGGGGACAGCAGGGACAGGGACAGGGATGGGGACAGGGACAGGGGGACAGCAGGCCCAGACCCTGATCGAGCGCTACGAGCCCAACCCCTCCTTCAGGGACAGGGGTAAGGATGGGACAGGGACAGGGACAGGGATGGGGACAGGGACAGGGATGGGGACAGGGACAGGGACAGGGACAGGGACAGGGACAGGGACAGGGGGGGACAGGGACAGACCCTGATCGAGGCGCCATGAGCCCAACCCCTCCTTCAGGGACAGGGGATAAGGATGGATGGGGACAGGGATGGGATGGGGACAGGGACAGGGACAGACCTGATCAGCACTACGAGCCCAACCCTCCTTCAGGGACAGGGGTAAGGACAGGGGGACAGGGACAGGGATAGGGACAGGGACAGGGACAGGGGGACAGCAGGACAGGCCCTGATCGACCAACCCTCCTTCAGGGACAGGGCAGGACAGGGGACAGTGGGGACAGGGACAGGGACAGCAGGGACAGACCCTGATCGAGCGCTACGAGCCCAACCCCTGCTTCAGGGACAGGGGTAAGGATGGGACAGGGGTAGGGATGGCATGGGGACAGGGATGGGGACAGCGGGACAGGGATGGGGACAGGGACAGGGACAGGGACAGGGGTAAGGATGGGATGGGGACAGGGGGACAGCAGGGACAGGGAGGGGGAC